CAGTCTCACCCGAGAGTCTCAATCAACGGTCTCAACCTAGCGTCTCAAGCTAGAGTCTCAACCAAGCGTCTCAATCAAGCGTCTCAATCAAGCATTTCGTCAAGCGGTCAGCAATTCGAATACAGTGAGTCGACAAATCCATCCGCACACGCGATAATCCGTCTCGAGACTCAGGTCGCATTCATTCGTAATCATATCATAACAAATATTCAGTTTGTGTTACACCTAAGTTGTTGGTTTGTGAAAATATATAATAACCTGTCAACAACAGCGTTATCTTTCATTTAACTACCCTTATTATCCTAAACGAAATAAGGGATCGAGCGATTCGCGGCGTCGATTAGCAAATCGTAACGGGAATTTACGACTCCCGTTGGCGCGTTTCTTCGAGATCGCGTCTCCCCGCGAACGTGCGAAAACACTTCCGTCATCGAACACGTTATTGCACGTGTTTATGCAATTTTGTATTTTTAAGCATACAGCAACGAACCTAAATAGAGATTGCTTATAATTATATGCTAAATACTTATAATTATATGCTATAAATCTTTCACTTTAAACGTCTTGTCTTGTATAGTTTTGCATATTATGTCCATTTTATAGACCTTTGCTCTTTTAAATTATTTATAAATACATAAATATTCGCAATTATACTTATTACTATACTGTTAAAGTGAAAACACTTTATACTAGACTGGATAGATAAGGATCTTTTACGTATTATTTCAATATTCGTTTCTAGAAAAAGAGAGTTTTCTACTGCACTTTTCTACTGAATCCCTTGTATTGTTGGTGCATATTTGTTTTCAATGTTTTGACAGTGCGATCAATACGCGAGTGGGAAGATTCCTAGCACTTTTTACATAATTACTAAAATACTCTTCGTGAAGGATTGTTTGTATCGATCAATATCTGTCAACACATTCATTGCAATTGACGCATATATTGCGTCAATTCACTCGATTATTTATATAATGCTACTGACTTCTTTTTACGTTCCAACAAAATTCATTAAACGGTTGACATATCAGTATGTTTTTTAAAACAATGGTACATTGGAACAATCGTTAGTTGGTACTTAAATGTATCTAATTAGGTATTTAAAAGCATCTTAAAATAATCTATCGCGATTTATTGTGATCGAGCGATATAAAAAATTAACCGATTCTACAAGAATAATATTTTTTTAATTATTTAATTTGTATTTTACAATTTGTCCAGCTGGACATTCGGTAAATTTTTCTAGCTTAATCGCTAAATAACATGTGGATGGCTACCCCCAGTGGGATACCATCTTCGAGTTTGACCATTTTATTTCTTTAGTAAGGTCGGTGAGTTGTTTTCTTTTTAATCTTCTTTCTATGAGAGAAGTATAATATCTGTTATGGTTTCAGAATCTCATAACGTAACTGCGGTCATTTTCGACCCAGTTGTAGCTTTCTAATGTTAACAAATATCTCGAGTTCGAGCAGAATATGGAAAAGTCGCTATTGATTCGCACGATTTCTCTTTTCGATGTTATTTCAAATACGCTCTTAAAATATCAGAAATTTATCGTGCTGAAATCAGCGTGATCGAAATATATAAGTTCGAGGATCGCGATACAGGATGATCAGATACTGTTCTGTGATGCGATTAAAAACGAACTCAACTGCAATAGTGTTATATCGTGAATACTTTCTCCATAAAAATCAAAATGTATCGAACGAAAATTAAAGAACTATCACTTTGAACATTTTTTACCAAATGTTCGGCTGGACAAATTGTAAAGTATAAATTAGATAATAAAAAAAATACTTTGAGCATCACTTTGCTTCTCTGAGAGAAGACGAACACAGACAATCGTCATTTTTGATCTGTTCGAATATTACGTTTGACGTGACACATTGAAGTAATTTCGAATTTGAAAATCCTATAATTCATAAAACCATACGAAGTACATATGTTAGTGACAAGAAGAAACGAAACGAAACGTTTCTACCTGTTCAGATAAAAGTCGGGCATAAGGACGAAACAAGTAAAACCTCTAACATATCAAAGACAAAATACAGCGAACTAAGTGTACATATATATTACTCTTTTTATTTCCTTGTCCTGTATTTTATATTCTTTCATGAACCGTGAATATCAAAAGCGATAAACATCAGCGTTTTTGAAGAACGGTCGTGTTTATGAAAGCGACGCGCGTGATCTTTGCGTGAAAAGCATGAAATTCCAAAAGGAAAGAGAAATAATTTATTCTCCTCGTAGGTTCTGCATCACCACCGAGCAAAATATCGCACAATTGCGTCTTCTTAAATGGAAAATACATGTACAAATGCATACTCCAATTAGTGTAACAAGCATAACGATAACGATCTTCCTGATTGTCTTTAATAGAAGACAATGTATTAAACAGAAGATATATCGTGTACTCGTGGAAAGCTTCCACACAACATAATAATCATCATTTTATCGAATGATCAAACAATTTGACTGTTTGTTATCTTTAACACGGGTTACTCCAATACAGGTTAACATGAATCGTACTCGGTTTAGACTCGTTCGTGATATCCATTTCTTCTTTTTTTTTTTCAAGGCAAACACAAAGATAAGATTCGTTACTAACGATTTATCGATGCCATTTGCGCGATACAACGATGAAAGTTATAACCATTTTCCGTGTAGCTTGTCGTTGCGTGTTCGTATCTCCGCAAACCATCTATCGAAACGAAAAATACATATGCAAGGGTTAATATTTTAGAAGCGTGCAACGGTGCGACGCTATAGTAGTTAGTTTCGAAGAAAACTCAACGGGAACACGATGGAAATCCGCACGAAAATGCTCGTGTACGATGGATATACAAGAGCAAAAGCGAGCGGCCGCGTCATGGTTTTTCTTGGAAAAAGCAACTTTCAAAGCTTCGCGAAAGCGAGAATGTCGCGTGGTTGCGAGAAACTAGCGAGAATTGTGTGCTAGTTTTCGCGGCAATTGGGTCGGTTGGAAGTGGCTGGGCACATACAGGGAACGGGTGATCCGCGTTCGGTAAACTTTCGCGCGATCGCCCAAAGCACTGATAAAACTGCCCCGTTTCTAGTGCTATCTGTTTTGCAATTTACCGACAATATACGACCACGTTGCAGCGCAACGTACAAAGATAACCTCGATCTACGAGGTGTGACAGAGTGTCGAGAATAATGCGTTCGACAATTTTATTTTAGGAATTGAACAACTACAGTTTCTCGGTTACGTCTTTTACATATCACGCGTGTTACACGAAACAGTTTGAGATTTCATTAACACCGCAATGACATGCAATTATCGCGATTATATCGGTATAGTTCTAAGCGGTTGTGAAAATGAGTACACAAGTTCCAAGATATTTAGTACAAGTATATTTTGCGCAGATGACGAAAGTATAATGTTTAAACAGACCATCAATTGCGATATCAACGAGTCCTGATATTCAGCCGCATCATTTTTAATATATACTCATTCTATAAACGTGGCTTAAGATTTTGACTACCACGCCGAAGTCACATGTTTCGCTCAGGACGCCACGGGAGTATTTTTATTATTCAAAGCATATAATAGCAAAATAATAATAAATTGACGATGTAAGACAACATTCTTCCCCAATGGACCATTTATCTTATTGGTGATCACCCGTGACCACCGTAGCGCCTTAGTAATAGTTGGTAGCGACATATTATAACAAGGCTTCGTTTATTTCAACAAACCATTCGCATTCGTTATTTCGTCGTAAGCAAAACGTCCAGAATATATTGTTGAAACGTGTAGAAGATATTAATAAACGGTATTTTCTCATTCTATATATAATAGTAAGGTATGTGCACACTTCTAACTTCAATTATATGATTATATAGCAGCATTTACGATTATTTTCTAGGCTGTGTTTATAATAATATTTGTAGATTAACCCTCAAAGATATGGATGCAAACACAGTGCACCGTTAGATGCAAGATTTGTTCCCATTCTTTTTTTTTTTATTGATGTTCTAATAAAAATGTCTAATTGTTTAATGGGACATTTTTTGTTTCAAAGTATCTTCTATTTATCGATTATATTCGAAATGCTCTAACTGTCAATTTTCATTCAATTTTTACAATTGCAAGAAGTTCAAGCGCTCCGGTCACCAATGACCAACGTGGCAGTCAAAGTATTAAGACGACTATTTATACTGTGTACATATTAATTTTGTACTAAATATAAGTTTGCAATAAATATGTTACAAGTTCTACGTATATTTTCAGATGTTGCATTCAAACGCTAATACGATCATGATAATCGCGTC